GAATAAATAACTCTCGGAATACAGGCTCGATTTGGATCATTCAAAATCCGTTCTAAAGCGAGTTAGAACTGCTAATATCCGGACGATTTTGAAATATTGAAATTTATTGAAAAACGTACGATTTTCTATAAAAACTGCATCTCGCGAAACTACAATCGGTTGAAAAACTTAGAAGTTATGATGATTTGGAGGTCAAAAAGACGATTTTCCCCACCAAATACTTAAAATTTTTACTTCAAATATTTCATTTTCAAAATAGAACATAAGATTGTTTGCAAAGTGTATTCTCGACACACACTGTCTATACGAAAATTTGCATTTGCTGCAGTTTGGAAGGAAATGGGCACTGAACATTGGCAAGCGTAAAACTCGCTCATACTTCCACTCTTTACCTCGTCACTCGGTCAGTTATCAACATTTCTTAAGACATTCAAAACTCCTTAAAAGCCCATATAGGTACTTATCGTAAAAAGTTGTTTAAGGGTCATTTTGGTCACCGTTTCAGCACCAGGGGAGTTAAATCTTCAAAGATCTGAAGCGCTGGTTGTTCCTGGAAACACGCTCTTTTGCTACAAGTTTGGCTGGGAACCAAGATTTTTAACCACGAAAATGTATTTTTAGGAGCAACTCAATAGTTTAGGCTATTATCATTTTTTTTTTAATTTTGGAAACTTTCGAATTTTTTTGAAAATCACAAATGTGCAAACTCTGCTCTTGAGAGTCGAATTTAGACCAAAATTCCACTTTTTATGAACAAGCTTTCAATAAAAAGGTCGTGAAACGTAACAGAAATGTTAAAACATATTTTAAACGAACGGAACGGTTTGAATCTAGTTTATCGGCATTTATAAAATACTCTGATTAATTTTCTAATAATGCGTTTCTCTTCACCTTTAAAAGAAAATGTTGTGTCATTCTGAATTTCAAAAATAGTGCGGTTGTTGTGATTATAACAGAAACCAAAATTAAAATTAATTAATTCAACCATTGATGAAATGTAGAAATATGAAAACTATTTATTTGTATTTAGAAAAAACTTCTAAATACCAACGAAAGAGGTGTTTTCAATGTAGGTTATTTTAAAGAAATATAGTCAATCTATTTCAAACAATCCGCTAGAAAAAAATTAATAATAATAATGAATCAGCTGTACTTAAATTTATAACTCCTGAAAAATGTTTAGATGGATGTATACAATAGTGCATACCATTTTTTAAGCAATGAAATATTTATGAAGTGTTAATGAAGCGAAGCAAAGCATGAAAAATAAATGCTAATGTTCCAAGCCAATGTCAAGTTAGGATGTTGATTAGGTAGAGTTAATCCTTGTTCTTGTGAATGAAAGTAGTTGGACCATCCTTCAAGTTATCTACCTCAATTTGCCTTTGCAATCTTCGTTTTAATTATCTTATTCTAATTCAATTTACAACAAAAACAGTTAATAGAAAAATCCGATGTTTTCCCCAATGAACCGTGAAGACCTATATTGACATAATACTTTGCCTGTAATACTTGAGGTACTAATTAGTTATTTCAAAGGTCGTATCAATTAATTGCAACGTTCATTTAAAGTACTTTTGTAAACTTTTCGACTGTTTGATCAAAACCGAAACAAAGGTTCCTTCTAGTGCCTACGTAATACGTGAACGGAAGTAGGAAGTGAGTAAAGTAAGGTGATTTTATTTTTACAACAAGTGGATATGAGTGATATGTTAATAATTAGGAGTCGTTGCCAATGTTTGCCTAATATGACCTCTCTGAGCGCTTAATACATTTTTTGCCACTGCCACTTAATGAATGTATTATTTGACTGGCCAATGACAAAATTTTACATTCTTCTTTTTTTTGTGTGTTAAACTTTGTGCAACTGTTGAATATACTAAAAAATATAAAAACTTTTTTAACTACTAACCTGAGAAGTCATCATTTTTACTACATTTGCATAGTGTCCTAATAATAATAATAAAAAGTCACCTCTATAAGTTCAAGGGAGATTCCATCCATTTTCAGTTCTGAAATCACTGTAACATTAACATTCACTAATTTTTCGCTTTGCCCAGGAGTTTTTGATAGAACTTTTATCTGTTTTCTGGAGACCGAAAAATTTTATTGCGGCATTTTCATAACTGAACATAAAACTATCAAATATAGTGACACTGAGAGAAAATTAATTGTAAATTCCTAATCTAATTAAATTAGTTTATACTAAAAAAATTCTATACAGGGTGATTCAAAATTGGCGTCATTCCTTTTAAGGGGTAATAGGGGATCACTTGGAAGGTACGAGAAAAATATTGAAATTTTTTTTTTCGATAATTTCTAAAATATGTATGTATATTAACAGTTGAAAATCGAAATTCAACTTTGTTATTACGCATTATTTTGAAAGTGTTCCATGTTTGATTTGAAGCATATTGGAATACTTAAGCATTCAAAAAGAAAAATGACAATCTTTGCTTCAAATTATGAAAATATTTTATGTTAAAAAAGTTTTCTACAATTTTTTAACTTATTATTAACATATAGAGACAGGTGTGAAGGTATGCCCTTGTCAATAATAACAATAATTTGTGAAACTGTGATTTATTTTGAATTTCCTTTCACGAATTTGCGGATATGCGATTAGTTCTGGGGAAATGTCACAGTACCATAGCAGAAGCTGAAAAAACCAACAAAGGGCGAGGAGAGTGGTTCCAGGAAGATAGTGGACGACAATTGATGTTCTGGTTCCAGACACAGAGGAACAAGTAGGTATTGGACATAATTGCAGGAGAGCCTTTCAGGAGCACTCAGAACATTGCACAACAACTGATACTTTCCCAGACACCAAATAAATACCGAGGAAGTGCTAGATTCCTACCACATATGTAAGATACACATAAAACCAATGGATTACTGAACACCGGTAGAAATTGAGCAGGAGTTAATTAACCGACTACGAGAAGAGTGCATAATAAGGTGATTGCACAGGCACTTGTTTGGAGTTACAGGCTCAAATGTATGTTTTTGAAATTCGTAAACAAATTAATAATTCTAGGTTATGAGTTTCGAAATAGATTCCATCATTCAACGATTTCTGTTGAATTTACCGTTTATCGTTGTCCATCTTATTGTCACTTTCTCTATTTATCCATGGCTACCGCAGCTTTAAATAATTACGAAGCAACAGGTAATTACGTAATGTTAATTAGGCAGATTACCGTGAAAAATATTGTTGCCGTTTTTCTAATATAGTTTTTTGCAAAATTTTCAATTTCTAATTACAATTAATATTTTTACTTTCTTTCTGTGCAGCTAAAACGCCCCCAGACAACACCTCCAGCGGAATGGCGCAAATTTTGAATCGCCCTGTATAATAGCTCACTTCTCGACTTAGTTATGAACAAATATATTTTATTCAAATTTACTTATTTGAATTATGTTTATTGCGTAAGTGTCTATTTGCTTAACCAGATGATTCACTTTTTTGATAAATACGACACACACTCTTTTCAATATGACCTGCTAGTTTGAAAGATTTTGAAACCGTAGGTATTCAAAATACGAATGGAATCTGCTTTCAAGAAGCCATGCAGAAAGAACCCAGCAGTGTGATTTCGAAAACAAACAATCATTAAATAAATTAAAACTCAAGATTTCTACCCAATGACTACCAAATATTTCCAAAATATTCTGGTTCCGTAATTTAAACCAAAATAAATTGAAATGTTTAGTTAGATTATTCAGATTTTTCCCAATACGCGCGTATTTGCGGTTTATTTTATCTCTTGGCGACAATCGAAAACTAGACCACCCAAAGTAAAAGCAACGATCGATATCATTTACATAAAAAATCGACTGTAAATCGTTCAAATCATTATCAAACGTTTTACAGCTGTCTTTTAAGCTTGTACTTAAAAAGTAGCAAGACTTCACGAGCACAGTTTTACATGTTCCTTTCATTCTTGTTATCGGCACGTATACACCTCGATTCTGTCCTAGAACTTGGAAGTGTCAGGGCGATATATCAAGGCCGCACTCTTAAAAATAATGGGAAAAAAACAATTAGTCTTGTTACATTGGATAACGTTGATGGACAATCATTAAACAATGTAATTGGATTGGATAGATTCTGTAGTCCTATTGTGTTCTGAAACAAAAAATGCATTCACATAGTTTTTCAACCATGTGAATTCAAAAAGTTTGTCCTTAACCACTTCATTTTCATCACACGGACAATTTTCTACTATATTCTAGATGAAATAATTGAATTAAACCCTTTCAAGTATGTTACTTAAATTCCCCATACACTTGTTCAATGGAAGTGGTATTTCAATCAATTCCTGTACGATGAAAATTTATTTTAAAAAAGCGTGTAAAATTCAATATATTTGCTTTATTTTAGTCAAAATAATTTTTTGCTCTATGGGTTAATTGGATTAATTTCAGTAGTTTAAATTTATGATTTTATAAATTATATTTATGAATTGATTCTTCTGATTCATTCTTCAGTAAAACATTGTCGACAGGCAGAGGACATGGGAAGGATTATAGTCTAAATAATCGCTTTCAAGGAAGTTTACAGAATATGTAAGGATGGAACCTCAGTTCTAGAAAACTGCTTTTGTCGCTGAAGTTTGTCGAATAATTGCTTCATAATTAACATAATTATTCTGCTAATATTTTACTGCATACTACTTGTCACAATACTACAAAATCCACTGCATGATAACGAATAAGTGCTACGTAATTGTAAAGAACGTTTAGCAAATTAATCTTACCATTACTGCGGAAGGTAATCAGTTTATTCAACGTACAATTAGAATTCCCTCAAATTCCATTTCAAAATCAACAGCGCTTTTTTAGTTGAGCAAAAACGGAATAAACAACTGTCGGCAAATAACTGTTGATTTGATGATCTAAGTAAAAAAAACTTGAAACTCACTTTTACGCTTCAATCATCTTTTATACGCTTTAGATTTCCTGTTGCATCAAATATGTCCAACAATAATAAAACTTCAAATAATTTATCAGTGTATTAATAAAATAACAAATCTGGATACCTCAGCAACAATTAATATCTGTCTAAAATTAAAAATGAATATTTACATATTAGTTGTATAATATAATCGACAAAGAATATTTTTATTTTAGTCCAAAAGCAAAAACAAAAACGGTTATTCCTAAAATTATCAATAAACTTAATCAGTTCTTTCATTCGTTTTTGGAAGACAAAATAACATTTCTTTCCAGCAAACTTTCAATAAATTATATAACTTGTTGGGATTTTCAGATATATTTCAAAACGCTTAAACTGTGCTTACAGATATTGCTAATTATTCCGATCAGGTTGATATTTAACTGATTTTTTGAAATATATCTCAAAAGGATAACCACCAATCTCATAACAATTAAAAGTATATACAATTTCTTATACTTTATACAGAAAATTCAGAGAGGTTCAGAATGGAAGTTTACGCGTCTAATGTATAATCGAAATAAAGGAAATGAAAAATTATTTGGTATTATGGCTGTTTAACAAAATCGAATCCTAAAGCGTAATTGCTATATGTAAATTCAAGTACCATTCCAGCGCCTCTGCTTAACTGTTCAGTTTTAGCAATTGAAAAAATATATTTTACAAACTGACAAATTGAATGTGAACCCCAAAAAAGCATAAATAAATCATTAATTCTTATAAATACAATAACACGTACAAATACGAAAAAAGTATTTTTAATTTAATTATAATTATTGCTATTCTTTTAAGTTATTCGGTGCTTTACCGCAAAGGCGGTATTTTATCTTGCCTGATTTAAAACGTTTAAGAAAATGGATATAACTACAAATGTTTCAGATTATTTGTATTTTTGAATCTTGAAACCCAACTATGATTTCAATAATTGTCGCGATATTCTGTAAAAATAGTCAAATTATTTAGAAGCATATTGCTCAGAGAAATCAACCAGAAGAACAGAAATAAGTAATTTTTGAACATTACACTTCGAGTATGCTGCTAAATAGAAAATGTAAAAAAATCGTTATTCATTAAAGTAATCTTATTTATTTTTAAATTAGTAGTGTATTTCCTAAATGTCGAAGAAAAGAGAGAAAACTTTGGTTCAAAAACCATCAAATCATGAATTTTAAGTCAAAAATATAGTAAATCTTATTGTCTTTTAAAAATAAGAAACTTAAACCGGAGCTGAAAAAGAGAAAACAACAAACAAGGTCGCTCTCCGGCAATAATCAGGAACTGATGCAGGATTTTTTGATATTTAACTTTATGGCAATTTTTACTTTTACGAGCGTAGACCATTTGTGTTTCGATATTGTTTTATTGCTTTCCATATTCTCAACCCAGATGCGTCTAGCAGGCCCAGCCCTCTTATGTCTTCGCGAGAAAAGTCGTGCAGAACTTCCTCTAACGTATACCCTCGTGTCAACACCTACAACAAACGAATTCTAATTCCTGGTTTATTAAAACCCAAAAATTGAAACTACCTTTTTCTGGGATTTTTCGCTGATTCCAAGACCCTGCAACCAGTTTGCCAGCCTGAGATCTTCCTCCTGTTCCTCTTCTTGATCTCCTTGCAAACTAATTCGCAGAAGATCCATTTGCTGTCTGGCAGTTTCTTGAAGGCAAGCTTTAAGTGCATCCATTTGTTGTTTGTTCGATTCCTGCAGCTCTTTGACCTGAAGCAAAATGCTTAATTAAATATCGTATCAGCTGAAAAATCTACATAGCAGAATACATTTTCTTTAGAAGTATTTCTTCGCTATTTAAAATATTTTTTTAGAGGGAATTTACTATGTTGTTTGTTCTGTTACTCTCTCTAGTTTTTTGAACGAATTCTCTTATGAGCAACAAAAATAAAGAACCCAGTAAATTTTAACATAAGATCTAACTGAATCAAAAATGGTTCAAGTAATACTTACCACCATTCGCTTCAAGTTTTCCACACAGTCGTAGCATAATCTTGAATGTTCTCCTTTCAAATGAATCAAGGAAGGATCTCCAATTTCAAAGCTTTCGTTCGTCTTGCTGGATTTCGAAGTACCCACTGAACCTTGCGGTGCTAAATTCTCCCCTAGTTCTGGTGATAGCACTGTAATAGCTGCCTGTGCTCCAGAACGGACTAGATTGTCTAGAGCGAACATCCAATGGGGTTTGATTGGGTGAAGACGCAGAACTTCGTTAACTGAATCCTGAAAAATAGTTTATATCCATCACTTTTACCGTAAATTTCCAAATTTTATAAAACGACACTTAAAAATTAAAATACTTACTTGGTACAAGCATATGGCGAATTGTAATTGATGAATAGCACCACTGTCGTAATCCAATTCGTCTTTAAGCTGTTTGATAGTTGTTTCCACAATGGTTAGAGATGGATCAGTCAGATACGCTTTTAATCCATCCATTAAACTAAAGTGAATATTTGTTACATCAAATGATTAAATAAGCGAACTTTTAAACAGTAGTTGCCGGATTCTCAACTGTAAACACGCACACCAAAGTCAATATCGTGCGCCTTACCTCTGGAGATGTTTCGGTGTGAGTATAGTTTTCCCCAAATATTTATCGCGAACTTTCTGCATCCAAAGATCGCAAATCTTGTTACCGTCATTTGCCAGCACTTTAGCCAAAGTCGTTCGTCGCTGAGAGTCCTTTTTCAAAAGGTAAAACCCATCAGTTTCGATCCCTACTAAAATTATAAAATATCGTTAGCAAAATTCCTACAATTTGTAAATTAACTGACCTAAATCTGCTTCCGGTGAAAGTAAGGTTCCAGAAGAGTTTCTTCTCTCGGAGTGATGGTCTAAAGCAGATTCTCCACATTCTAAAGATGGAGTTGATGCTAAGCTGAAAAATCAGATCATATTCACAATCTCAGTTGTATTCAATTTCATTTACATTTACTGACAAAATTCAAAGAAAAACCACTAACATATAAAAACCAGCAAAGCGTACCTACCTGCTAAAATTGAGATCAGTAGGCATTTGAATTGGGGGCAGTAGCGAACCAGTTCTGGAATGTTTACTGGAACTGACAAAACAAACAGTAATATAGCCACCCGAACATGAATATGTGTTAGCACTAAAAACCTTTGGAAAACAATTCACAAGAAGCAAATAAAGTCACTTAATATAAGGAAATCGGACTAATTGTAGTTATTTATAGTTCACTACACAATTGCTGCGGAAAAGTCACAGCAATGCATATCAGAGCAAAATACAACAACATGTCATCTCATTGGACGTTAACAGTAAAATAAACACACACATGCAATTTAACGTGTGTTTACTGGCAACATTTTTTGACGAATTTAAATTAAGTAGTTTGATATTGCTGCATTCGGCTGAATAAGATCAAAACACTACCAAAAATACCACAATTTGACTAATTGTTGATTGTGAAAGATGAATTGGCTCTACAAAGTACCTTCATCAACTTACTCTGATTCTGGAGTAGTCGGAGTCTGATTTGGTGCACTTGAATGTCCTGAAAGCATTCGTGGGGCCAGTTTATCTACAGGCACAGACACACTTCTATTGAAGTCTGTATTGACTCGAATCGGCTTTTTCCTCTCAGGACCTGTAAAAGTTCCCATAGTTCTAACTGGAAGATTTGGATACCAATTGCAACAAATAGTAAAATACCAATTTTATACATGTGACTGCCAATTTACATTACTCACGTTTTTAAGTTTACAATATATAAGACAATACAATATACAAACAGGCAAATATGTTTAGGCAAACAGGCAAATATATCTTTATAAATACAGGGGGTTATAAGTACCTTTTGAGAACCAGGGAAATAGGCATTTTTTGGATAAGCATTCTCGTCGAAAACGCATTTTTAAGATTAACATTAGCGAATTTTACAAAATTAAATCCTAAGAGTTGACACTATTGCACCTTACTAATAATAAACGATCGACTGTTTGCTTTATTTTAGCTGTGTAATTATTCAGCAAGTACTACAAAAAGCAAAGATCATCAACAGCCCCAAAGTACGTAGGTTTTAATCGAGATCTAGACATTAGAAACGCAAGCGCAAATAAAAGAGCTAACAAAAAACAGCACAAACAGCTGACCAAATGCTAAATGCAGCATATTCAGCGGGAAATAAACACGTTTATTTTTGTTTGTTTGTTAAAGTGTGGTAGATTTGTAGATTAATAGTAAAGCTTTGTAGTAGGTACAAGTAACGGCTATTTGTATATCGGCTGACCTGATATTTCGGAGCTTCAAATTCTTTAGAATAAAATCTAAAAAATGTGCTTCCAAAATGGAAATTGTTACTATATTAACAATTACATTTTTATAGTTTTAAGCATGGAACTGGTTCCAAGGTAAGTGAAATAAAAATGCCACAGATCATTTATAGAAATTTGAACAAACTATGACCGAACATTCGCTGTAAACAACCACGAAAACAGCCTGTATAAAAAATCGAAGTCCTTCTATGTTTAATACATAATGACATAAAATGGTTGGTGAATTGTGTGGATTGATATAATTTTACGAAAACAACTATAGAACTGAAAATTTCCAATAAGCATTGATGGCTACTATCCCTCGGAAAAAATATTCCTATGGAACACTTTTAGCACTTACCCAAGAATGGATCTTCCAGTAGTTCCTCAGCAGTTGATCTTTTATCAGGATCGGACTCAAAACATCTCAAAATGAACTTGGTGGCTTTATCCGAGAGAGCAGGAATTTCCGGATGTGCTTTATGGCAACCTACCTTTGAATCGAAATTAATACCGTGTGAATCTCACATTTATACAGTTCTGAATCAATTACACTAGATATAAGGCAGAAAAAATATTTATTTACTTTAAATAAAGCAGCTTGTGCAGACCCCAGCTCGATAAACGGCGGTTTCCCAGTAGCCATTTCCACCACTGTACATCCCAATGACCACACATCCGCAGGAGCTGCATATCCTCGTTGTCCTCTGTTACATAAATTTAACATAATCCATATTTATCCCAAACATGTTGAAGATTCGTACCTATCGATAACCTCCGGAGCCATGTACCGCATAGTTCCAGTAAAAGTTTGCGTACTCATACTCAGTCCAATTAGTCTCTTTGATGTTCCGAAATCCGAAATTTTCACTACTCCACTGTATGTATTCACCAGCACATTATCGCCTGAAAACATAATATAATTATTTTTTACATACCGCCTGAACTCGATTAGCTGTTAAAATTTAAGGTTTGTTTAATTTTTTTTTAATTGCCTTTACTGCTTCTTCTTGTTAATCACTAAATTCGGTTAGCTCTTAAATTGAAAATCAGTCTACTTCAGCAAATACTAACACATTCTAAGGTAGCGTTTAAAAACACACTATACGAAAAAAGTATACTCAGAAGGTCGTTTTCTTTAATATTTGTACTTTTACAGAACGGCTCTATTTTTGGAAACAGACAAGACAAAAGCTATTATTATTTACCTTTAATATCCCTATGTACAATTCGATGGCTATGCAAATACTTCAAACCCTCTAGGATTTGTTTAGTGTATGAAGCCATAGTAGGTTCATTTTTTTGTAGTGATCCCCATTTCGATCTTAAAAGAAGACTCAGAGATCCTCCAGGAACCTGTTCCATAAATATCTTGAAAAATCCTATAAAAAAATTGAAATTAAAATCTGTTTTTTTTTTAATGAAAACCCAATGTTACCTTGATCCGAAATCGATCCGAGGTATTGCACAATATTCCGATGCCTCAATTGAGAGTGCACTCGAATCTCTTCGTGTAACGGTTGAACCGCTCCAACGTCCTTCTCAGGTACTTCTTTTACGGCAATTTTCACTAAGACACAAATACATGTCATCCAATATAAATTGGATAAAATATCTATGTTACCTTGCTTGTTCAAATCTAAAGCTGCATATACAACGCCATAGCTGCCTTTTCCCAACGTCTTCCTTCGGCCTTGCTCATCCAGTTCATACTCGCAAAGAATTTGTTGTGGCGGTTCCGGTTCCAAGGGTCTTTCTTGATAATTGAGTAGATTCACTAATAAGTTATGAAAAACACTCCTGAAAAAAAATGACATAAAAGCTCACAATAAATACAAAAGTTGAAACGAAAGAAACTGGTTCAACCAGTCGTTCTTACCTACATGCCGCCGAAGGAAACATCATTTGGAAACAATCCGATATGGCCAAGACGTATAAAAATAACGATCTATCATCTTGCGTGTTCAAACTAAAGCTTCGTATATCATCAGCTTTGAATTCCCAATCGTGAATCTCTCGACAGCACAGTTTTAAACGTTTAAGGCACTCATTTGTTAACTGAAAAGAAAATAATTTTCAATTTAATCAATTACAATTTACATTATTGAGCTTAATATTTTAATTAAGATGATTGAAATGTGGTAAATGTTGCAGATCCAGTTTATCTTCAAAAGAACCTATGCGAAATTGGTGAAAAAACAAATAGTTTTCTGGTGTGTTTCTCGGTTCAAAAGTGATGCAAACTGATAATAAATGAAAGTTTTTTATCAGCTTTGGTAGAGACAAAGGTGTTCTGATGGTGATTTAAAAACGGAAACGTACGCAACAAAGCAAGTGATCAGGAATTTAGGTTTTACCAAATTTAAAAACCAATTCTAATAAAAACCAACGCATTTACACGCCCTGTAAAAGAATCTTACAAATTCGGCGTACCTGTAAAGTTTGTGGTTCAGCTCCTAAGTTGATCCAAATATGACTAGGCATGTACTCTTTACTAGGTTCAAAAATCAAAACGGGAAATCGCCCGTCCGAAGACACTTCATCCTCAGACTTGATGGCCTCTGTAAAAAATTCCATCCAAAAGTAAAAAATTTGCTCCTCCGCAGAAATGTCGTCCTCCCGTTTCTTCCGAAACCGGTCGATTAACTGAATATTTCCTATAGTTGATTTTAGATACCAGTCGGGTGGTTTCAGACGAAACATGTGTTCTGCAGCCTTAAGGAAATGGTCTATTCAAAGTTTGAAAACCTTTACTATTATGTGTGAACGTATAAGTACCTGTATTGCGTTGGCATAGTTCTGAGCTAAAACTGATATTTCAAAAAACGTCGCCACAACCCAATAGTCCTTGAGCGATGCAAGGCTGCCTTTATTTCCAATTAAGCGATTTAAAACAATGGCAATGTGTTGCAAGTCGTTCGATTTACTAAGTTCTTCCCCTTTGATCACTAACAATGTTGCTAAATTTATACCTGGAAATGGGTGGTTATTCAGAAGATTTCAGCTGAAAGAAATTTTTGATCTTAGTTACCCGCATATTCATTAGGCTGAACTTCGAACCCTTTTTTATACCAGTGAATAGCCTGATCCAGACTTTCTTGGTCTGTATAGTTAGACTCAGTAAATATATCTTTGTAAATCCTACCACACAGACAAAGCATGTCCGGAAAATTGTTTTCTTTCTAAAATATTAAAAAATGTGCAACCTGACACTAAAAAATAAAAAAACTTTTTACAGTTTTTAAAGCTCGAATACACTCTCCAAGTGCTCTTTCCCTGTCGCCGTCTTTCTTCCTTCTGTTCAATGCAAAAGCATATAAAAATATAATATAGGAATTAAGATACTTTTGAGCAGCCGGAACCGATTTAAGTCCATCAACGATATGAATCATCGACTCGTAGCCTTGGATGTCTCGAAAACTTAGAAGAATGTTCAGAATAGTGTCTCCTAAAAGACATGTCAAAACGCTCAATGTTTACTTGGCAACAGATATGGCAAACATTAATTACCTGATAGTACATTGGGATCGTCCAAACGTTTAACAATTTTCAGCAAAGCTTCTTTTTTTTCTGGCTCAGTTTTGATTTCGTTGATTTTCTTAAGATCAGCCAGAAAGCGTTCTTTCATGTACGCTCTTGCAACAAAATAATCATTCAGGTGATTTCATCGAAGCAAATACTTGCTTACAATAAACGGTGATTTTGTGCATACTCACTTGCTTTGCAATTCTACTTCTTGCAGCTGCTTTTTAAGCTTTTGATACAAGAATTCAGTCATATCATCTCCTCTATCGGTTGGTCCTGTTGTTAGGCATGAAGTTTCGGATGACTTATATGAAATGAAGGTATAGTTCGAACACGACAACTGTAAAACGATGTAATGATAATTGCGACATTATATTCATTTAAAACGTGAATTAGAGAAAACCATCGAGTAGACGCGAGTATTTAATTCGAGCCGAGATAATGGAAAGCTACAGGAATCATCCACTTAGTATGATGAAGCGAAGAAATTAAGTCGACAAGGTTTTGGAAAAACGTCAATGCTAATTTGCAAGATTTTGTTTTAAAAATTAAAAATTTCAAACGTCTCAAACGTGAAATGCACCGTCATAGTGGCTTTTTTCAATGGAATGGCTTGAACCAGGGTAATTCAGTATCTAACGACGCTCGGTTGTGCAAAATGTTAACAAAAAAGATTCCAGTTTCTAGAACCAACTCAAATAATTTTTCATCATTCGCAGTTTGTACTTACAGTACAGTTCGGGCACAAACGAAAATGTAATAAGCTCTCGGACTCTAGATTTCGTCATTTTTCAAATGGATAATCTTGTTTATATGCTCATAAAATCTTGAACAAATTCTAAACTTAAGAGAATAAACCCGAAAATGAAACGGACTTGCTATAGTTTCATAGGCGGTTTTCAGAGTTTGTATATACTATTCTTCCTGAAGCGCCAAATTAAATAGCCACCTTCAAACAGATTTTTGATGAGAAATTTGATGATTTATTAATCATTTTCAATTAGAGGTATCTCAGAAACCATTAAAACGGTCTAAATTACCGATAGAACCTTTTCGATTCAACATATAGAAAACTGTACATAAAAAAGTTGTGACAAAAATTTTGAAGTTTATTATCACTAGGTATATGTTTGTATAAATGTATGTATGTGTATTTTTATGAACACAAGCTCGCAAGCCTTTACTCTTAAGGCATGCCCTCAGTGAGACGAAGACATTTTCCAAGAAAATGTTATCCGTTAGAAGATATGGATTATTTAATGCTAAATAACCCGCGAGCTGTAAAGAACGGGCCGAATTTGCCCAATTTAATGACATATGACATGCCTTCGGTGTGGTGACAAAACTTTCATAATGGATTCCGTAAAATCTAATCTAAAAGCAGTAACATGTGTTTGTAAATGTATCAAATGCAAGCGCAAAATCGTGTACATTTTCGTTCGCCATCAAGTCCAGAAACTTGCATTTTAAACCTTATAAGCTAAAAACGGTGAATTTTCAAAGCAATATCTTTAATTTCAATAAATATCAACGCAAAAGAGGCATTACAAATGTAGACTAATTATCGTACAGTTAGTGCCAATCTTATGTGAATGTTTTTTAATTGCATTAGTTAGATTTAAAACCACAGCCGTTCTTCGTGTTTCAAGTGAATCGTTGGTCAATAATTTACACATTGTTCGTTTTAAATACGTTATCAATTTCTTAATTTGTATCAAATTGTTTTGACTTCTTTAACTTAAGATTTCGAAATCTGTTGTGTTATTTCTTTTATAACATGGTTGAGTTAAGCAACTAAATCATAAAATAACAGTTAGAAATATTTCCATTCTTCTACGTTGTCAGGAAATATAAATTAGCCCCTCACAAGTCCTAGAGGTTCAAGACTTATTTAAACTTAATATAAGATAAACAGATAGTTTAAAATACTTCTACCATCACTTATCGTATGGTGTGTTTTAGGGGACAAATCAAACATTCTAAACTATTTAGGTGATGTTTTAAACACTTTAAGTATTAATGTAAATTAATAATTGATTGACTATCGGCATTCTGCAACCCACCTTTAATCTTAGAGTGGTGTCAGCATCAACATCATTGTAAATGAGGACGTTTTGCTTCATTTTGAAGCTCTCCCGCACTCCCAAGTGATATATTAAAGTGCTCTGTTGAACTGGCAAGGATATATCAATTATCACCACATCTGCATTGTAAAAACTGCTAATCACTTGCGTTTCCCCAAAGTCCAACTTCTCGAACTGCAAGCACATAATCCAGATGGGCATTAGATGTTATTCACTGGCCACAAGAGCGATTTGTACCTGAATATGGGACAGGGAGGCCCCCACTTGTATACAAGCGGTTTGAACATCATCCAGGGCTCTTTTCCTATCGGCTAAGTTCTGACTTTGGCAAATATCAATGACACAAACCACTTCCATATGAGTTTTAGTCATTGTGGCATTGGTGTGTGTAGAAATATCGGAATGAGAACCCACACTGTCTATGCTGCGACATTCTTGAAAAATGTTTATTTTTGTTAATGACAAAGTGTGCAGTTTTAATGATGAGTCAATTGTACCTGCATCGGTCTCGGCAGTTGGTATTGAAGGCATTTTTATTGTAACACAGTAATATAAACACTATTGAGTAATAAAAATAAACAAAACAATTGTCGGATGAAAGGCACATTCGCACAGCTCGTTGGGCAAAAGGAGTGAAGTATATCAATTCATCTTGATAAGTAGCATGTCGTTTTTCATTATATTAGTCGCCAATTAGGTGAATTAAATAATAAATTGTATTAATAAAATTAGCACAGACTATTTTTCACTCAAACATTCCTGCAACAGATGAAAGATGACAGATTGATCCTGCTGAAGTTTTCAACTTTTCACCCACACAGGATTTTTCTCTAGATTTATCTAGTTTTCCTAACCCTATTTTACTCTAATAATAATCACCTCTCGGTCACTGGCCCAATGTAATATCCTCTAGAAAATCGAACTAGTCGAATACTTTAACAAACCGGCGACATTGTTCTTAGCGCTTAAATTAAGATAAATACCCCGAATTAAATTGATTTAAATCAAAATAAAACAATGCAGGCAACCATACATACACAGAAATGGAAACTTTGTTGAAAAGACATGGGCGGGGGCCAATGGCTCATTATCGGCATGGGCGTAGGTTGCGGTTTCAGTTTACTTAACTAAACGATAAGATATCATATACTTCAAAAAAAACGAAAAAAGAAGCTTTGTTTCGTAAAATTAGAATAAAAAGAAATACGATATAGAACGCGTTTATTTTTTTTGCAAATTTTTGCTTTTGAGAAAATAATTCACTGATAGCAACGATAGTTTCCTTTTACAAAATACTTTGTTGAGAAGAAGAAAAACAATTTATTATTCATGGTAAAACAAATAAAATTTCATAACTATATGCAAATTTAAACAATAAATTGAAATTAAATTAAGAAAAAATAGTCAAATAAAAAGCCGTTTTACTCTAAAAGTTGGATAGTCGAGAGGCCTAATATTGAATAAAACGAAATCCTTCAAATTTTTTACCAACACAGCTTTTATATCATCTGTCGGGGGGTCTTCCTACTGATCTTCGCAAGTTTAGTTTTCGCGACTTTGCCCACTTTGCCCATTTTTCATATGGGATTCTCTCCACATGGTCTCTCGAGCACCTCCTGCGTATTCTTCATCTCACCACATCCTGCATTTCCAGTTCCTCTCTGATATCCCGGCTTATCATTGGATGGTTCTTAGTATTTTAATTTCGGTCGTTCTCATTATTCTTTTTGTTGTTGAATGTATCCATAAATTTTGTTAAATTTTTCAGGGGCAATAAAGTATTTTTTGGTATTTTGAATAGTAGGTTATTAACGCCAAAGCAGACTTATGCATGTTCTTTTTATGCAGTAATTTATGAATAATCTACATTAAGTACAAATTGCATATATTTATCTAAAAATTAATATAATTTTAATTGTTGATGCAAAATATGTAAAATGTCGAAAAGTGCCCAATCTTTGATAATCTACGATATTCAAAATTTTATTCTGGCTTTTTCAGAATTGACAGCCTTTCAAAAATTCCCACATTTGTACAGCGATCTGTTCTCATTGACTTGGTGAAAATTGCATTTACCTATCTAATCTTTAAACATTTTCTTGATCAATTTTTGGTGAAGCCGTCGAAACCTTTCGTGTCTATGGTACACCCGAATAAAAAAATTTTTTTTTGATAGCTATGGTACATCCAAACGATCTGTGAAAATTTAATTTCAATCACCCCTTTGGAAAATGCAGACTGCTGCCATTTCTATCGACTGTCGAAAATAGCTATTTTACGATTTTATTATTCATTTTTCAGGACTCACTGATAGAGTTTTCTACAATTTTCCATAGATATAGTAGTTCCGAACGTTCTGTGAAAATTTCATTTCATTGGCTGGTTTGGAAAATGTACAGAAACTATCAAATTTGATATTTCTTTTGGCAAAAATTTACCTTCGTCAAAATAGCTTAAACCCGTTTCAGAACTCGTAATAAAAAGAAATTTTTTTTTAATACTGGACAAGATTTTTTTACTATTTTCCATAGCTATAGTACTTCCGAACGTTCTGTTAAATGCATTTTAGTCATTCTCTTGGAAAATGCAGAATGTTGCCATAAACTATCCAAAATGGCTTGTTTTATGGTTTTATTAGTTTTTATCTAGACAGATTTATTTTTCGGAACATGCTGGACAAGATTTTTCTTCAATTTTTGGTTTTTTCAATTCAAAAGGTTTTTTTTTTATTGACAAAATCATCAATAAACTTTGACTTGAGCTGCAATTCTGTAGACCCTGTAATTTTCAAGATTTTTCAATGCTTTCCAGATATTGAATATGCCTTTTTTATCTGGACACTTCTGAACAATTTATATTCGTATTTCTGAGTTTATTTGTAAGTACATCGTATAATAATATAATAATACATAATACTTAGTATGATGTTTTATAACAAAACTTACCAATTATTATTGACTTCTTTACTAATTCTTTTTTGCTTGCTACTCCGTGCTGTTTAATATCCACATAAGAAAATATTGTACATGCGTTTTCATTATTTCCTTACCTATTCTACATCTAGATGATTTTCCCCTTTGACTCGCTAGTTTTGAGCTCTTTAGAAGGTAATCAGCTATTTGAGATTACTTAAAGGTGCTCAAAACATGCTTTGGACATATTTTAAGTCGATAATTTTTAGGCATCACATATTGAGAATCAGTAGAAAACAAGATTTATTATACCTTTCAATGTTTATTAGTTGGTTAACTACTGAAAGTGAAGTGTTATGCCAGTAGAAAATCAGATAACAGCTACAAAGGTAAAAATAAAGAATTCAAGATTCAAGAAATAATTATTATTCATTATGATACAAATTGAAACGAATTAACACAAAAAATATTAGAAACAGCGACTAGTTCTGAAATGTCCCATTTTTAAAAGTGGCTTGTCGCCAAACCGTCGGCACTTCTAAAATAGCAAAGTGGCTTTAACCCGGAAGGCCCGTCTAGATGGTTTCCTATAAAATGTTAGCGGCTTACAATGTAATAAAATGAAACACAGTAGTAATAAACCGGCTATTTCCGTTTATTTTTTTTTCACTAATGGTATTATTTTGGTGCTTAACTGTAAGTCGATCTACAAATTACATTAAGACAAGACTAATGTATCAAAACTAACTGAGTATGGTAAAAATAAATTCTCATAATAAAATTAATCAAAACGAAACAAAGTTGCTGTTGACTTCAAATTAATTGGAACAAAAATATAATCATTTCAAGCTATACAGAACAGCCACATTATATATCTGCTATAATTTGTAACAAAACTCTCATTTATTTAACTAAAAACAATACAGTTCGACAGTAGGGTTGTTCATTTTCCCAAGATGATCTTCCTGGAAGCACCAAAGTTTTGGCCGGCCTGAGTGGCTCCTTTGTTAGAACCAGCTTGAAGACCAATCATTCCTTCGCCTGCCCTCAACTTTTGCTCAGAGAATTCACGTTTGTTTTCTTCTGATGGTCTGGGACCTATCAGTGGATAAAAATCGATTAATTTTCGTGTTCAACTAACTGGACATTTTTTTTAAATAGCTTCTAAATGCGGTAATTAGCAAGTTTTGTGAATACGAACCCAAGAATGGTCCCCTCCACTCAGGGTGCTTGTAACAAGTGCGACCAATGGCAAAGATGGTGGTGGTAACTAAAGCGATGTTCTTCTGATCCCAAAGATCGGTAGTCTGGAAGAGATCTACGTCAGGTACTCCGTATCTCACACAAGCGTTTTGGAACCTAAACAAAAACCGTTCAGTGGTTATTTTTCTAAGTATGGAAACTTTGTTGTTTGCTAAGAGTTAATGATATTTTGACTAGTTGAGGCTGGCAAGGGATAGAAGAAGTGGCCGAATTAGATGTGAAGACAGTAGATTTTTAAATTATTACTATTAGCTGATGGATGATAAGATGACCATAGGGTGACGAAAATTGTTATTAACAAAATGAAAAATAAAACATTTTAGGTAAAAAATATACATTCATTAATTATGTACATAGAGTAAAACCAAAAATCTGGCAATTAGTTGAATCTTAATGAATAAGGAAATGAAAGACATTTAGATCTCCGCAAGTTAAACATACTAAAGTAATTTTTATGCTAAACGATTATAAAGGCGACAAAGTAATTTTTCCATAAAAAAAAGTTTGTGCCAGCTATGGCTAGAACTGCAGCTATTAAAGAACTGAAAAATAATGCACATAAATTGTTTGAGTTTACTAGATTGAGCGTTTGTTGAAATGACGGTTGCAAAAAAATTAATGAAATAATTAATGGAAATTATAGATAATAATAGAAATGATTTTCGAAATATTTGATTATAAATAAGTGTTAAACCAACCCTAACGAAAATCCTACACAAATTGTCTCTATTTTTAAGTAGATTACTGAGTCACACCTGGCTGAATCAACAAATGATTACGGAGTCCGTGATTCATTGTGGGGTTTGCCAAAGTAAGGTGGGTAATGAGTTTGACAATTGATATATGAAATATTCCATCAATTGAAGCTACGGTTCTACTTAAAATACCCGAAGCTATAGGATAAAGCTTGAATGTGACTTTTAGATATTTCTCAATCGAATCAAATTTCTCTATCTTAATGAAAAGCGATGTGATCATTCAAAGATGATTTGATCAAATGAGCTAATCCATTAAATTTCGATTCAAATATTATTGAAAATTAACGTTATTAATTAACAACTTAGATTTGGTAGTGACAAATATTGAAAAATAACGTTTAAATAAAAATATGTAATAATAAATACATTTTTTGTTATTAAATATATCAATGCTAGTACGAAAGAAAATTAAATGTTTATAGTCGTTTCTGAATCTTTACTGAACTTACTGAACTAGAAAAGTATAAAATAAAATAATTTCGTTGCGTTGCTTCTACCCAAGGAGCATTTTGGAAAATGTCATACTTTTAAGGGAGAAAATCTACTTACTGACTAAGGTTGTCCATCATTTTGTAATCGCCTCCCGAAACGTTAATTTTGGAAATAATTCCAGGTTGCAGCCTGTTCATTAACTGACACAGTATGATTCCATCGCGAAGAGCCAACTCGTAGGGAACTGCAGGAAATCTTTGTCCAATTACGCTCTCAATCCATGCTTGAGCTTCGCGTTCTTGTTCGGGGTCGCGTTTTCCAGCTACCTGAAAATTAGATAAAAACAACTAGTTTAGATAACAATTTATTTGAAATTGTCGGAATACACTAATTAACTGTGGGAAATACTGGATGATCCAATAGGCATGAAAATAATTGAAATTCAAATTCCTAGATCACATTTAGCCAATATCTAAGCAGTAACTAAATTAATGATTTATCTATATGCTTGTATGCAAACTGAATTGAGTCAAAAATGTTTTTAAAAATTAACATGTCTGGTACACGTCACAAAAGATTTGCAGCCAGATTATTGAAAACTCATAACTGGGCTAGAAACTCGTAATATTCCTCATTAGCTTGCCACCTACTTCTGTATTCTAATATTAGATTGTCGGATCCAGATACAAAATACCAATAACTTATAATGATATTAAATGTGGCAATTTATTGTGTTTGTAGTCGCCCACACCGCCGTATGCCAAGTTGAAAAATATTTGTAAAAGTAAAACGATAATAATTTAGCTAGCATCCTCAGAAACCGCACTTAAAAGAAATAATTGAGCGCAGTATGGATTTAATGATTAAGTGAAATATAAAAAAAAAACACACACAAACTATTTATTGCTGCGGAATTTCTTACTTTCAGAAAGAAAATTGCTTAGTTCGAGTCAATAAAAAGCGTGTACAGTCCAATCCTATATTAAATGTAAACACAAATAAACCTTGAAGGATTATTAATAGGTAAAGCAACAAATTATTGACTGGGATTAATGAGTGAACTGAGCGGGATTCATAGAATACAAAATTTTAATGAATGTCTACTTGAATTTTCCAAATCCCATAGAACCATATTGAAATTTGAGTCATTAAAGTCTGCAAAACTTCCACAAGTTGGTACACACAAAGCATGTTTTAAAAATTGTCTCTAGTAATAATAACAGTTTTAAGGTATTTTAATATAAAGCTAAAAGAAGAGACTACTAATAAGATCTTTAAAACATAGCAAGGCAATTTGGTCAAGAATAGCTAAGAGTTTGAGTAATATCCTGCAAATATGTCCATTAAATAGGTCGACTGCTTTGGAAGTAGCAATTTGTTTTCAAAAAGTTCCATTTTTGAGCCTAAAGCTTGGCAAGTTTTTATAATTAATTGCTTGCTTGGAATAAGCGCAACTTCGGTCGATGTGTAGCTGAGTGCTTTGCTAACACTACGTAAAGAATTCAGGTTCCTGCTTTTACTGGTTTAAAAAGAGCGAATTTTCCCGCAAGAGGTTGAAATGGCTAAAAGTTGGGGGTTTAAGCCTGAAAGCTTGACAAGTTTTCAAAATTCAACGTTGTCTGAAAATAAGGAAAAAATTGGCTGAGAACCAGAACTGAGTGCTTTCTAAATCATTCTGAAAATCACTCATCTATCATCACTCAATCTAATTATTCTACTAATATGGAAGTTATGATTTTGCAAAAGAGGTTTTGTTAGCGAAAAGTTGGATTTTACAGTCGGAAGTTTGGGAATTTTTCAAAACTCAATGTTTGCTTGAAATTTGGTCAATGTGTAGCTGAGATTATATGATATAAGTGCTGTAAATATTTAAATTGGATATTTGGTTTAAAAGTTGTGAATTTTTCCCAATTGCTGATAGTTCTGTTTGTAAGCCTGAATTCACAACGTCCGCTTTCAATTTAATGAAATTTGTTCGAGGAAAACTTCAGATTTTGATAAGAAGGTTTTTCAATTTTTTGCCTGCTTGGATTTCGGTGAAATTTGATTGATGTGTAGCTGATACCCTGTATATCAATTTCAGAAGTGTGAAATTAAAAATAATCAGTAAATAGAGTAGAGTAAATATAGTAAAAATATAATAGATACTTTACCTGGACGTAAAACGTAAAATTTGGCCAACGTATAGCTGAGTGCTCTGCTAACGTTTTGCATAAGGGTGATTTTGATACTTTTTTCTTCAGGAGGTTGCAGTTGCTCCAAGTTGGTTTTTTTGGCTAAAGTCTGAGAGATTTACTAATTCCGTAATAAACAATAAGTTTGATTCTTCAAGGAGTTTGTAAATTTCAATTTTTTGACCTACAGGTTACGTTGTGTAAAAATAGAGTTTTTGAGCCGAAAGCTTGGCGATTTTTCAAATTTGAATTTCAATAGGGTCGAATTTATTGCACCCATTTGAAAAAAATAAATACATTGCAATTGATTTTAAAAAAAATTGCGGGTATTTGTGTGATTGAAAGATGTGTTTTTGAGCATTTTTCAAAAATGAATGTCTACTTGGAGTTCGGTTGGAAATTTTCTAATTGGCGTTGCTAAATATTGTGTTTCCTTAATAAATTTAATTCAATTTGGCGTTATATGTATTAAATTTTCCAATATTAAAGTGTGTATGTTTAAGACAAAAAACTTACTTTATAAAAATTTCACCCATTTGAAAAAATTGGAACACCAAATTGCCTACTATGAACACTAGCGCACTAAGGATGCCTCAAATACATATAAAATTGGAGTCATTGATATTAATAGACGTTTTATGTGTAGCAAGTAAATAAATATTTTCAATTTACATCACGCTTAGCCTACACATTTCCTGGGCGTTTTGGGAAAGTGGATCGTTTGATGGAGTGCCATAATTTACCTTTTTTGGATAATTTCATTAAGTAATTATTTTATACTTGTATAAGGTGTCTACTGTGTGAGCTTAGGATGGTTGGTGAATTCCCAAAATTAAAATTAACTAAAAATGTGTCTTTTGGATCAAGTTATTAAACATATTTCTAAAAACTGCATGTTTTATTAAAAGCGAATAGAAAATCGTTATTGCTTGACCTGAAAGTAATAGAAAATAAAAACATTTATATGTATATTCAAATAATATCTACTCAATAATTATAACTGTATCCAAAAATGTTTATGTCCTTAATTCTGATGCTCATACAAAGTGTGGGTTAGTTTGGGTTTAGCGTTAAAATGCCTATACAAAATTGCTCTATATTTTATGTTATCATTTTTATGTTTTGTAAGTTGTAAAAAAACGCATACTCAAAACGGATTGCCAGTAGTGCTTTTTCATGTAGAAACAGTATTCAAAAATAAAAATATAGGTTAGTTTATTTATTAATTATTGGTAGAACAACTGATTTTGACTGAAGCACATCCAAAAATAAAAATGTCGAAAAACTGCATACTGATCCGTTTTTAACATGTATTTTAGAAACTCCAGAACAAGTGAAACTAAAGTTTACATAATATATTTGCTTATCTCTATCACCGTTTCTCCATGAACCCCGTAATTTAAAGTGAACCCTTAAGAAACGTTAATACTTTTTCTTTATTTACACGGCAAAAGTGTAGAGTAAATGAAAATAATTTTACATAGTAACTGAATTGAGTCAAAAATGTTTTTAAAAAATAACATGTCAGGTACACGTCACAAAAGATTTGCAACATCCAATATTTTGCAACGTTTTTACGAAATTCCATTAAAAAATATCAGTGAAAAATATAAATATTTCGAAAGTAACATAAAATTGCGTCTGTTTCAGACAACTGTACGATTTCCCGCCCCCGCCAAAGTTTCTCATAAAGACGATCTGACTTAGACCGACGCCTCAGTTTGCACCGTCGCGACGCTTAAGTTAAATCTCTCTCAAAAATGTCAGTAAGTATCAGTTTTTTGCTTTGAAGAATTGAAACCATTTTTTTCTCCTTAATAAACTTCCATATAAACATTTACGTCCAGTAGATTTGCCATTAACAAACGATGCTTTTAACAAAAGAAAAAAATTATTTAATAATTGTGACGTCAATGATCCCACCACAAACGAGAGTGGGACCCTATTTTTAACAATTTTTCAACTCCAACACCTGTTAAGTAGGTAACGTAAATTTGGTGGTTACTGCCAGAAACTATTTTGCGGCAGGTAACACTTTGTTTACACAACAGAATTTACTGTTTCCACCTGAGAATTGCACTGAATACTTTTAAAAATAGATGGGATATTTTCAGGAATGACATACATTCTGAACTGAAGCCGATTCATATCTTTTTACCGTAGTTTTTAAAAACTGTATCCTTAGGAAATTATGAACATTTTGATTTTTATTTTAAGTCAAGCATTAGCCAGTATCTATTAAATTCGAACTAGAAAAAAAAACATTTTTAATTCACTTTTCTATAGCTATGAGCTATGCCAAATTGAAATTTAAAACAGTTGCTATTACCACCAAGCATTTGAAGAGGCAGTGCGGTTACTAAAATATTCGAAAATCTCGGCGAAAACGTTAGAAATTATGTATTAACATAATGAAATCAGTTCCAAAAATGTATCTGGAAAATTTGGAAACTGGCGCCCAGCCAACATAACGTAAGCCGAGCGGATTTATCAAAATAACGCTTGGAAACCTGATAATTGAATTGAAATCAAGGTTACAGCATTTGGCTTTAGTTTCATTTTCACAAATGCAAAAACTGACTTAAATCTGCTCATTTATAGAAGCGTAACAAGGAAGTAGAAGCAGAGGTCCTGGACTGGATCTCTAAGGTTCTAGGAGAACCCTTACCGAAAGGGGAATTCGAAGATATTCTAAAGGATGGCATCATCCTGTGCAACCTTATCAACAAACTGGCTCCGGGTTCAGTAAAGAAAATAGCCACCAAAGGAACCAACTTTCAGCTGATGGAGAACATCCAGAGGTTCCAGGCCGCCGTCAAAGCTTACGGTCTTCCTCAGGAGGAAATTTTCCAAACTGCTGATCTCTTTGAAAAGAGGAACGTTGCCCAAGTGAGTAAACATCGCAAAAACCATAGAACAAATGTCCAACAAAGCAATTCTTCATTTAGGTAGCGTTATCATTGTTTTCGTTGGGTCGTTTGACTCAAAAACATCCTGAATGGAACGGGCCCACTCTAGGACCGAAAATGGCCGAGAAGAACGAAAGATCCTTCACGGAAGATCAATTGAGAGCCAGCGAAGGCCATTTGGGACTTCAGATGGGCTACAACAAGGGTGCGTCGCAATCTGGACATGGAGGCTTTGGAAACACTCGTCACATGTAGATTTAACTCTAGTTCCTAGATTCTAATTTATTTTTTTATATTATTCGTGATTTGCTTGTGCCTTTGTGTAATAAACAACTGATTTTTTTAGATGAGTTTCTTTGTTCCTTTGGGATCGAAATATGATTCGTTTGGCTTAAGAAAATTGGTATTTCCAGAGTAATTAGGTCCAGTATAAGTTAAATATCCGTATGCTATTGGAAAAAATCAATGCACTTTATCGAAATATAAAAACGAGCCAAACAGTTTCAAAGCAATGTTACCAATTAAGAAAAGTTAATAAGAAATATTCTCAGAAATCTTTAGTTTTATCTGTTTATGTGTCCACAAGGCGAAAGGCAAAGTCAACTAGAAACACGTTTTTATAATTCCTTAAGTCTTCTGCAGATTTGTCGAAAATTTTTCTACTTATATAATTTTCTTCCTCTTATTTCAAGACGCATTTAAGTTAAATCATTAGTATTCATTTAAAAGCTAAATTTAATTTTAATTGGAACATTAAGGAAAAAATAAAATAAGACGAAATTATTACAGTTTTTGCAAATAAAAACTTGAGCAATTTGTTGCGTATTTATTACCTCAATTACTTAAAGAACCGCAGTAAATCCACATTAGCAGCGGAAGCGTAAACTTTTTATATAATAATTATTATTATGTAATTGATATTCTACCTAAAAGCAAGCGAACTAACAATTAAATGAACAGTTAAAAATTGTTAAAAGGACCCAAATCTGAAACCATTTCTAGATATTTAAATTATAAAATATTTTAATCATTTTGAAATAAGTGGGTTTGAAGACGACATACACTTGGATCATTAAAATTAATTAAAATAATTCAATAATAATACGAAATAGAATCGCAAAAACGCTTTTTGATACAACCGAAATTAATTTTATATAATTTAACTGTAATAAAAAAACAACAATTTATTATTTTTTATTTTTACATGAATAAGTGTTTTCGATCTTCATCCTTCAGAATTTTTTAATTAGCAGCCGTTTTATTATACTGAAAACTCGAAAATTACGACAACATTTACATATACTAATATACGAACATTCTCGACTTTTTTATTTACTGGGATTTCAAATGAAAATAAATTAAAAACAAAAATCCCGTATTAAAAAGATATGTAATATGCAAAAAGAATTAGTAGTAAAGTCACAATATAAAACTCCTAAATACCTAATGCTCATAATGAATGTAATAAACGTTACATCAAACAACAAGAAACAATAAAAAGCAAAAAACACTTTAATATAGAAGATTTAAAAATGTATTCGATTATTGCCACAGAGTACGTGGCTTCAACAACTTTAGCAGAGCAATAATTAAGAAAATAACACTACATTAAAATTAACTTTTTAGACTTGAAATTGTTTTCACCAACTGTAATTTTTTAGTATTTTAACTGGATAGTCTGATGGTTGTGATTCAATTTTTAATCTGTTGTGAAGTTGAGTTTTAAGTTTTTTTTTTTATTTTAAAATTTTATTGTATTACAATGTCACACACTAAGTGTTGAAACTCCACCAGGCTCCAGGCTAAAAACCCCTCTATTTTCCATTTTAGAGCCCTGAGGATGACTTGAATAAAGTCGAAACGTTGGCCCATGAAAAATTAGTGTTTTATTTTGCTACCATCCGTTGACCGAAAATCCCACTATTGAAAAATTAGTTACTGATTATCATCACGGTCACTAATCAACCACAACATATTAAAGAAACTGTTATATTATATTAAAACAGAACATTTCACTGATTTGCCGCCAATTCGATATTTTCACATTTTAAAAATATTTTCTAGACTTATTGTTTTCACAAGTCCGAAACAAGGCAATATTTCTAAAATATTCGTTTATTAATTACAGAATTTTGTTATTATAGGAAGTACGATTCCCGCCTCGATAAAAAAATTATATTTTTATTTTATCCACGTTTTGAAATATGTAGTAAGAGTTTGCAAATGAGGTAAGCGTATAAATGTTGTCAATTCATAAAAAAGTCTCTTTTAAACAACCTTTTCGAGGCAAAGCACTCGCGCTTGTTAGTATTTGCACTGGTTAGTTCGAAAACCGACTGTTTGCAAAAATACTTAGACGCAACATTTTGGTAAAGAAATTTATAATACTCTATCAAAAAACAAACAAAGTTGAAAAGTATCTGATTAACAAGTTACTTTTAAGATATAATAAATATATATATACAAATCAGCATACATTTCTCAACATGCTGACGACACGGCACTTATCGTACATAACAAAAGTACTGAAAAGGCAGTAAGCCGGGTTAAGACCCTTACGAACAATTCTCAAATGGATTGATAAATGAAGATTAATAGGAAACCTAATAAAATACCACTTCCTACTCTCAAACCACCAACTCAACTAAAAGGACAAAAAGGCAAACTCACAATTTTAGTGAATACATTTTTCATAGATCGAAATGCTTTTGCTGAAAAATAGTAACAAGAACAAGACTGTAAGCCTAGTTTATAGGTATTTTTGTGCAACTTAAACATTACACAAGGGCAAAAATACCAATTGGGTCTAAAGCATATTTCACAAAAATAAATATTCTTTTAGTACCAAATTAATTTATGTGAAATGATAGCTGAATTTGCATGCCATGTCCAAATATCTATATAAAATCATAAATATGTTTAAATTTAACTTTATGTCTACCGTTTTGCCAGCTAATGGCTTGCCAGAAACATTCCTGATCACACCTATTTCCAGAAAACTTCCTCATACGTCAAGTTTCATACACAATTGGTACGTTAGTAGGTTTGACAAAGTTTTTGCCATTTAAGCAATGGCTCAATAAGTTAATTCTCCGGTTATTTTTAAATAAAACAGTGTACAACTTTCAAAAATAGGTATTTCAAGTTTTACATTTGACTACAATATTTGGAGAACCCGTCCAAAAAAAAACAACTGTAATTTTCCGAGCATTTAACTTGTTATTATTCAATCGATGTGTCTCGAAAATCCAAATAGTTATTGATGAATTAAATGAAAACGACAAAGTAAATATAATATCAAATAAAAATATGTACTTCAGCTAACTTGTTTACTGTGAATAGAGGAAAATTTGTAGCAGTGCCAGGGAAAGTTAGATAAATAAGATTTATAATAAAATCGAATAAAAATTGACACATTTACATATTTGCTAAAAAATATTCAGGAATCGAATTGAGAATTTGCCAAATATAATTAATGAAAAACGTATATAAAGTGTTCAAAAATTGGTATTTTTGCAGAACAAAGTAGAAGGAAAACAGATGTTTTTTTTTTATTTCAGAAAATTCCCTTCCTAAAGTATTAAACAATCTCGATTAAAATCATCTCGTTCATCAACTCGGATGCTTCAAAGTTCAAAACACTAAAAACCTTTGATTCGGTAAAGTAAACGGCTGCTACATTGTGCTTTAAAGTTATGTGGTCTTGACCTAGTTCTACGTCTAAATATTGCACATTTTAGCCGCGTTTATAAATTTATGAAAGACTATCGATTATATAACGATTTTTTTTTCAATTCGAAATTGTTGTGGTATCTTCGGTTAAGCTCGATATTCGATTGGTACATTTCTGAATGGATTATAAGACTAATCGGTTTAATTTGGACTTGTTACGAATGGAAAATATTACGATTTTGGTACAGAGTCCAAGGAAACAGTCCAAAATTTGATTGGATCGACTAACATATATTTATTTGCAAAACTCACATGCCAACTGAAATTATTGCTTCTTAAGTTTTTCTTTTTAAGTTCATGATTTTAATCAGAATCACACTGGCAATAATCAAAATCAAACTGACAGGATCAGTTTCCAAGTGGCAATAAGCAAAATCAAATTGACAATTGTCAATAAAATCATGACAGTGTCAAATGTGTATCGGGTTATTTTAAAAATGTTTATATCATAATATGTTCTCTTATTCAGGCCTTAAAAAAAGAATGATGCTGCTGCAGATTTGTGCATTGTGTAATGACTGATGTAATCTTGCAAATGTACTGACAGAATCAGAAATATATGGCAATATTGGCAAGTTTACAGTTGCTAATAATACAATGATTCGATTTTTTAAGGAATTTTTTTATTTAAATCTATCGTTAATTATTATGCTCCTTACTGTTTCAGTTAACTGAATTGCTGAAAGTACAGAACTGATTTTGTTTATTGTCAATTTAATTCTGATTGATGTCAGCAAGACTTTGATTATTATCAACAAATCAAAAGTAGTTTGATTTTGACTAATGTCATTTTTATTGTGTTTGTACGCCCATTTGAATTTGAGGAAGTATAGAAATCATGGGTAAATGTAAATTGAAGTTTGAATATTTTCTGAAAATTTCCATTACAGCAGATCAGTTTGCTCAATTTATATTTTAAATTTTTTTGTATTGTTAATTGTATAGCTATTGTATCAGTTTACAAATTTCGATCTCAAAATATCCAAAACTCTAGAATATTCAGATCTGGAAGCGGCGGAGGCCAAAGTAATGCTCCACCCAATTTACGGGGTATATTGATATCTTTTCCTGCAAAAGCCGACAATTTTTCGAAACGAAAAAAATATATTATTATAATATTAAAAGTTTGACCTAATTTTTCTGATTAAAACCCTTCCAACTTTATGTTTGACCATCAGTTAGTTGCAATCAGCACACCTGAATGCGCATTTCCTGAAATCCTAGAAATTTAAATGTATACTTTTAATGGAAAATGGCATAACCACAAGTACTGGTGCCCCAGTCGAACCGCCAAAATTACATAATAGATCTAGGTATGTGTACCAATAAACCCAAAGAACGGCAATCCTCAGGAGTGAAAGTTATCCGAGTGTGTCTCGGTCGTTTGCAAATTGCAGAATTCGACACAAGATATAGATTTTAATTAGTGGGGTATGTTTATTTGAGCCGGCTACTTGAACGTGCAGTAAACATGGGTTCTCTTGGGTTCTGGGTGATCTTCGCAATTTCGTGCCAGTGTTTTGGAGGGTTATCGGGGAAAATTCTGGACGTTCAACGTAAGGATATATTTTTTATAAAATCTATAATTTACCACTGTTTCCCCAAATTCTAACAACAATTACTAAATTTTTTTAATGCATTTAAATGCAATGCAAAAAACAGAGTAATCTTATGACAAATTTTAAAAAATTAGTGTTGTATTTTATAGTTTTTTGCCAATCATTTATAATAAATTTATGTATAGACCATGGCACTCAATCAGCCTTATTTAAAGACAAGTATGCAGATTTATTAAATAATGCCTCAAGGAAAGTCACATTAATTACGAGTTTGTTTCATTGATCAAACACAATTTTTTGATTTTGAATAATTATTAAAACAATATGAAAAACATAGTGTTTCAAAAGGTGTTTAAGAGTATATTTTTTCAGCCAACCAACGTTATTTCTTTGAAACGTTGTGCTTATAAAATGGCTTTTGCAGAACAAACGAATTCAATTCGCACTTTTTAGCCGCAACATTATATTGTATGTCACCTTTAAACAAAAAGCGTAGTAAATAAAATATATTCATAAATAATTATTTATTTGTCCTGTATGACTTCTAAGCTAGAATGCTGCGAAATTGCAATCATCCAGCGTAAACGTATTATATTATAACTCAATTAAAGTGATTATTAATGACTAATGAGAAAATTGAATTAAGCTGAATGTAATGATTTTCATTATTTTATTAAGCGAACTATGTTTCCATATATCGAATGGTTAAGGCTTGGAAATTAGCTATATAACTTTGACTGTTCGGTTGGTGCTGATGGTAAAGCAAAAAAATTTGGGAATTGAAAGTTATTTGAATTGCAGTGGGTAATGACTGAATTAAGCGGAAAAATTAACATATTTATGTAAGTTTTAGCATGCACTCCACGCAAGTAATAAAATGATGGCAAAAGTTGAAGAATAAAATTAATTATATAGCACATTTTTCAAAGACTTTATCTAATAATTTTAGATCTTTTGAAGAATCTATTTCACAATTATACAGGGTGGCACATAATTATAATGCTACTCATTTTGATCAAGTTGGATTCAACAATTAAATAAAACTTGGGCGGAAAGGCCGCAATGGTCGATAGCCTTTTCATCGAATAAAGATGTTGTTGTTGTTGTTGTTGTAAAACTTGCTGATTGCTGATTCAAAGTTCATTTCAAAAGCATCTTAAAGTTATTAGACAAACATTAATTTTAGATCTTTTGAAATACGTTTTTCACATTTATACATGATGACACTTATCAACTTCGTTTGACCAACTTTATTGCAGCAATTTTTTTAAAATTAAGAGAAATATATTTGATTAATAATTAATAATAATAATACTTTTGATTAGTACTAATCCAGTAGCTGGTAGTCACAACTTTTTAGCCAGATCCAACTCTCACTGAACAAACCCGCACAATGATTGATTTATCGTTTAAACTCTTTCCTCTATTGAGTTATGAAGGGTAAAAAAATTATTGATATTTTCGAACGTTCTTAATGCTTATTTTTGTCCATAAATAATACTTTAAATTGTATGTGGCAAAAAAGGCATATTTTGATATGAAACTGGTCTCTGAAGCACATTTGGTGATTATATTTTATTTATTCATGCAATGGATGCAATTAGAATTAATATAATTCTTGACAGAGACTTGATCTTGGCTAGATCTTGAAAATGCATTTTGCAATAAATATATAAAATAACTGCGGACTTATTATAAAATATTTTTTCCCAGGATTCCTCCTGTATTTCAGATTTGTGCATTTTAAAAATATATATTTTAAATATGAATTTTGAATCTGTTTGTAATAGGTACAACGTTTTAACTTGGTTTGCAACCTGACCAACTAAATAATTAAAAATAATATGGTAGTTTATAGTAAATTGCACATCTCCGCATGTGTATGTTTAATTCAAAAAGATGTTCTTGAAATTAATGAGACCACTCGTAATAAATAAAGAACATTTAGAAAATCACGCAACATGAACATTTCATGTTGCCACTGAAATACGAGTAATTTCTGTCGATGGATTGTGTCATTTAACAATTAATTTTTAATTAACAATGTTGCGTTTTAGCGGATTTTGTGAAGACATGTATGATTACAAGACCCAAAGCGGAATTTGTTAATTGCTCAACTCATGCAGTTCAAACACTGTTCAACGAAATCCCGAAAGGAAATGAAGACATCGAATTGCAAATTCTAGATCCTTTGAAAGTTCCTTTTGTAAAAGTAAGTATATCGGACTGTATATTCAGTGATAGATGATTTATGATGCCAAAGTATATGCTGGAATAAAGGAGGAAAAATTGAGAAATGTGTTCGTAATTTATGGTGCAATTTGCCTGAGAAAAATGAAGATTTTCCCAAAAAAATTAAAATCGCGAAAATATTTCCAACATCACAAAAACTAGTTATTATTGGGAAATATTCTCACAATCGTATATTTTTGCAAAATTGTTACTGGTGAAACGCATAATTGCCTCAAGGCGTTCCCAACCATAATATCATCCTTTGTTACTCAAGCAAAGCTTGTAGCGATGAATATTTGAAGGATTCTAGAAAAGCGGTTAAGGACATTTTTTTCAAATTTATTACTATTGATATTAGAGTGAGTTCTTAACATGCCAAATTCTATAAAGGGTTTTCTTTGAATTTTACAATTTTTTTTAAATTATTTGAATCTCAATTTTCACATTATATCTCTACTTGTGTGCGTTTTGTTGACATTTTACAATACAAAAACGGTTCAAAAATTTTTAGTTTTCTTCACCAATTCTACTTAGCTGATAGATTAAGTTAAAGACACGTAAGTACTCTTGAACCCTTGATAATTCTTCAGCTAGACAAATCTAGTTCTAGTTGACTTATGATCTCTCCTAATTTCCCTCGTTATTTTGTTGTAACTTCTAACCATTCTAATTTGGCAATTTTCATTTATAATTTCATCAGCATAAGTTTCATACGCTTTTGCAAGAAGAACTTCGTATAAATATGGATTTAAATAACTTTTACAAAACATAAAAGCCAAAAGATCAAAAAAGGTGAATACAGTTTTATCAAGTTGAAAAAACATTTTCAAAATAAATTTACAATCATTATTGAGATTACATCATTATTTACAATTAATATTGAGGTTTCTGTGGAATTTGGGAACTGTTTATATTTGCATATGGCATACTGGGATCACTACTTAATAGACGTCAATTCTTCCTAAATCACTGTGCATATTTCTGTATCTTAAAATACATCCCAAACGAAATTTTTTAGTTAAAACCTACCATCAAATGAACCACAGGATACCTAAAATATCAATAAAAAAACCTTTAAGTATTGAAAAATGTTTATTATAAGATATTTCAAATAACGAGAAGAAAAAGAACGTTTTCTAATGTAAATACTCCTTCAAACGTAATAGAAACATGAAACCTTCCGCCCAATTTAACCAACATTTATAGTTTACAACTTTTTTAGCTTGCTTGTTTAACATGCAGTTTCGTTTAAAAATTGAAAAACCTATTAATTTTCACTAATAAATTGTTATGGTAATATAGTTTAATATTCGTAGCCTGCTCCAGTTTTGAGAAAAATCGATTTAACTGACGATATTCCTATGAATGCCGAATGTTTTCTTTAAACATTTATTAAAATTTAAAATGCACAATTAAATGCAAATAAATATTTTATTAGCGATTTCATAATGTATCTTAGTATCATAATCTGTTCTCACGAAACTTTTGGTAGTTTTACCCTGTTATTTCGTTTAATAAAGAACTGCAACATGGTTCCTTAAAGAATATGATATAAACGTTAATGAAATAAATCAAATCTGTATTATAGATTCTTCAAGGGGGAGGTGGCCCTGTGACAGTAAATGCCTCGTTAACGCAAGTAACTGTAATTGGCTTTGGAAATACGCAAATTATACTGAATAGCGTGGATCCAGACACTTATGACTTCTTCACGAAGTTGCACCTGCCTAGGATGCGAATTGATGGCAACTATGAGCTTCTGGGCAGAATTCTGGTAATCCCTTTAAGAGGAAAGGGCAACTGCTGGTTTGATGCAAGTAAGGCTGAGTATTTCATTCCGAAAATATTAAACAGCTTTTTCCAAAGTATTATTCCCCAGTTGTGCTGTATCAACACATTTCGCAAACTTCTAATAATAGAGACTTAAAAAAAAATCAGGACAAACAAGTAAAGTTGAACAACCCAGCTCCATCTGCAAAAACATTAGTTAAATAAGTGATTTCGAAAAACAAGACTACATGTCGATTTGCAAAATTTGAGAAAAGATGGTGCTTGGATACATTGGTCAGTTGCCAAAAATTTAGGCTATTTTCGTTTTTCATGAGCCCACATGTCCCGCATACAAATTGCTTAATTTTTCGTTAGTCATCAATTGGCAAAATCAGTCTAAATACTGACAGAAACATGTTGTTCTATGTATGGAACGATCAATGTAATTAATTACAGGAAACAATGTAAATTTTTGTATATGAGACAATGTTCCTTCAAAGGCGTTCTGCATTCAAGTCCGTTTTTATACCGATGTACTTAAACGTGTTTTTGAGGCAATCAGCTTAATTTCAATTCAAGCACAGGAAATACACCAAATACGAATAATTAAGCAAATTATACAATTATAAAACACACAAATGTTGCAGAGGATTTGGATATAGACGTAAAATCTGATGTAAAGTTGGAAAATCGTGATGGTTTTTACTTTTTCAAAGTGACTAACGTCCATGTGAAATTCTCCATCGGCGGATTGAAATTGCACATGGGAAACCTATTCGATGGCATTAAGGCATTAGGTAACAATTAGCTGTTTAATTATTGTCGGTAAACTTTCTAAATGTATTGGCTTTTCAGAGGATTCTACGAATGCTTATCTAAACGCAAACTGGAGGCCTGTTGCAGAATCTTTAAACCCGATTTTATCCAAAACCATTGAGGATATAATGTTGGAAATCCTGCAAAAGGTATTCGACAATATTCCTGCTAGTTTCTTCTTGGGGGACATCAATGAAAATGAAACACTTAGAGCAAGGAAAGTGTAAATAGTACTACCCGACGCTAAAAGTGTCTGAAAATTGATTAATAATGAATTTCAATTTAACCCAATTTTCCTGAGTTAAAATTTAACCCATTTCAAGTCCCCAACCTAAATTCCGAAAATAATTTTCACATTGCAGAGAAAATTGAAGGTCATGGCTATTTAAACACAGACGTTGTACAAATACATATTGTGAAAGAAATTCTCTAAAAATACCTTCAAAAACTCACCAAATGTTCGGCGATTTTAGCATGTTTTTAGACAATCGGTGGACTTTATCTGTAATGATTTACCTTTAGTATTATTACCGATACTTTGTATATGTAATATTTACATAAAATGTTTTATGAATATTTTTTAAAATATATTTACTGTGATGTATCGTTGCCTGGCTTGTAATCAGATCTTATTTTAATGTTTAATGAATAATGAACAGAAAAATATAAGATTTTATAAGGCTTTCAGTATTGCTTTCAAATAACAATATCCTGCTGAAAGCTACAGTTTTTATGAATTTTTGGTGAAAACGTGTTTATTCATTTCTTATTCTATTAGCTTTATCATTTATCATATATATTATCATTTCTTATTCTATTCTATTCTTCTACTATTAGCAAGATTAATTTCGCTTTAATTATTGCTGCAGACTTTCTTGAATAGGTTAAACTCACTCTTTGTTAAASAAATTGGCAAAACTAAATTAATTGTTAAATTTCACAAAAAAAGACCTAGTTTCTTTTATGTTTTGGTAAAAACAATATTCTAATTAACCACCCCCCACGCATATTCAATTTATGTTGTAAGTTCCTAGTATAAATGACTGTATATTTCAGAGTAAAGCTACTTTTATAACATTATATTTTTTTATTAAATCACTAATTTAAAAACTAGAAAGTTCACACAAACTATAAGAAACTATAAAGAACTAATAAGTGTATATTTTGAAAATTCAAATTCAGTAGCGCATTATGTATTCTAAAATTATTCTGGAAATGTACACTTAAAATATACTAACTTAAACTAATTTTTGTACTCTAATATTACGTCTGCTTGGTTATTTTATTTGGTACTATGATTTTTTTTATTTTCTGTACAATTACAGAAATTGACACAGAATTGGAAATTGGGAGACTGGAATTTTATAAGTAAATCAGCAAACTCTCAATTTAAATGAATTATATTTATTTTATGAGTTTTTTTGAAGAAATCCTTTTAATAATACATTTACGTATTATACATACGTTTTTCTGAACCTTCAAAAGTAATTATATTTATTATCATATTATCATGTTAATAAATGTGTTCTCTAAAAAAGCACGCTTTATTTAAATTTCAAATTACTAAAAAGATGGTGGTTTTCAACCATTAAACGTTTGAATCATTTATTATAACTGGATGATCCGAAGATCAAGAAAACTCTTCAGAGATTCAAAAGTAATGTTCTTTTGTGCTACTAGTTTCTGGAAGCAAATGAAATTTTTCTGAATTTGGACTCAAAATAACAAAAGGAAAATTAAACGGTAGCTGAATATATGCTTTTGAAGCTTATCTGAGGATTGCGAGACAATTATTAAGGGATTTTCGCCAATTTTAAGCGATGTAATTGGAGCTATTCACCTCCGAATTTTTCGAGGAGTTATTTTAAGAATCCTGTTTAGTTAATTAGTCATTGTTGTTCGAAGCATTGAAATCGCGATTTTAAATTTTGAAGGAATCCATTTTTTTGTTAGTCCACTTGGTTCACAGCACGAAAATAGCAATCAGGTGCGTAAAATATGACGACGAGATATTTTTGGAGAAAATTTACGTTCTCTGACTCATGAAAATACAGATTTTTGCAAAATCATCAACATCAACATTTTTGCAAAATGCATTTTTTGGCAAAAATTTAAAACTAAAGAAGATTAATAATTCCTAACTGTTTCAAATAAACAAACAGGTGGTGTTTCAAGTCTAGTACTTACTTGCCACAAAGGTCTAGATGGTCCAGGCATGTTGTTTGTGTTAATTTGAGTTGTTTCGAAGGGCAAAAAAGGTGGAATCACACCTGTTATCACTAAAATCACTTCAGTGAGGACCAAAGATTAACTACGTAGAATTTCGGACGCCTCTCTCTTATAGCGTCGCATTTTTACAGTAGCGTCGACCCCGCCCACGATAACCTTTTTCCAAACTTTATTAAGAGGGATACGTTTTTCAGATTTTGCTCGAAAACAAAAATTTGCGATTATACAAAGCCCAAAGAATCGACAAGTGACCACACAGAACCCAAAATTTCATTTATTTTCTAGATAACTCAATGGCGTATCGTTCAAATCTATTAAGGGAAATCTCAGGTATTCTAAGGACTTTTAGTATTGCAATGGGCCTTTATTAAATTCAAACATTTTATTTTTGGCTAATAGTAATTTTCAATAATATTTAGTTAATACATTGTTATACAGAGTGTTTGAATGAGATTTAAAAATCGATCAACAAAAAGTTTGGAAAGTGATAACAGGAAGTATTTCTTGGTGTTGTTTTCGATTCAAAACCTCCATTCGCTCTAAAATGTTCGACAATATAAAAGTAAAATCAATTTTTTTCGATAGTTAGATTTTATTATTTTTGCGTGAAAACTGCAAATATTCTTTGGGCTCCTCCGTAGATTCAAATGGCATTCTAAAAACTTTCTTGAATATTTAAACAGTATTTTCAAACACCCTGTATATTCAGCAATATTCTGAAGCTATTATTACTCTAAATTTATTTATGTGTAAATAATATGTAAGCATATTTGTTTCTTACAATATTATGAATCGTAATATTTTGTATTTAATTTTTCGAATACATTTATGCTCGAGAAAAACTGGTCAAATTTAGAAGAGTTCGGGAACCTTTTGAAACGTTTTGTTTTATTATTTTATTTAATCATTGTAAAACACTAGCAAATGTTTGGGAATTAAGAAATAATTTTCTTAAAACAGTAATGCAAAAATGGGTTTGTCAGTCTTAAAGTAACATTTTATGGGGTGTTCTGACTCAGTGTCTACGTATGAGTTGGAATCGCCGAGAAATTATACGCATCATTATTGTTTTGGTAAAATATTGTTATTTTCGTGGTCATTAGTCATCTTGGCGCAGTTATTTTCAGTTTATTCACGCGCTAATCTAAGCATGACTTTGGATGTACAATAACATAATGTACAATAACATAAGCAGAATTACTGAATAAATAACGTACTTCACAAGCAGAATTCCTGTACAAATTCTCAAACATTTGAAATCGATTTTTTTCCTTGAAACTAATAAAAATTAATATTACATACAACAAAAACTAATTAATTACATAAAAACAAGTAGGTATCTTGAATGAGGCAGAAAATAGGTATATTTTGTTTATTTACTTTTTCTGAATATTACCCTCAAGATGCATTTTTTATTTTTTCCTTGCTTAGCACTTTATTTAATTACTTAATACACAAAATATATACATTTGTTAATGCAAAACTAAAGAAAAGTAATTTAGGAATTACCGTTAGGACACAAGTGGCGCAACACTGGTTATAATTGTTATATCAATATAATTTATTTAATAAAAAAATAGCATAAAATAACATATAACACTGAACGCAACTGTGTTTTTTTTGCAAGAAATGTAGAAGACATTTCGAAACAAATTATGTTATCAATGTAAACGTCTGAGAAAATCGTTTGCTCAATAATAATCCAACTACTAACATGCTTCAATTTGTTTACTTTTTCTGGCTATTTTTGGCAAAATTTTATGAAAAGTGGATGCTCCGAGTTGAGTGTAGATGCCGTATAAAATTTCATAGAGGTATATGTGAATATACTATTAAAAAATGGGTTTTGCTAAGTCAAAATAGATTCAATTATTGGCAGGTTATTTTTTGGAACTAACGAAGAGTGTTTATGGTGGTGGTCACCACGGTGACCGGATCTTACACCACTCGATTTCTTTCTATGGAAGTATTTAACGAAAATGTGTATCAAAATAGACCTGGAAATATTGAGGGCCTTAAACATAAGATAAGTATGGAAATAATTCTACTTCGTAGTTTCATTTTATAACTGCAGAATGTCGTGATTTCCTTTAAATTTTTTACATTTTTATTTAGTAACAGACGAAGTTAAGCCATGCACTTATAAACGAATTTCTAGTCACCAAAATGAGGTTCGTTTCATATCTTTTCGATTTACAAATGAAGCGGTGGGAATTCTCGTTTTTGAGACGCGACTCCTAGTCAAGCTTTATTTATGAATACGGGCCTAAATCTAATAATAATTTCTATCTTAACAATGTGAGAAGCAACAATTTTTTTATCACCTTCATCTTAATACAATTCAATGTTAATGAGTAAAATTATTGCTAGATGAAAAGTATCTCTTAGAAGGATTTTGACAGGAGAGATTTAATCTTTATTTATTTTTAAAGAAACTTTACTTTTTATTTATGTATAAAATATAAAACCTACCTAGGACATAAACTGCGTACAGTATATAAAGTAAAAACAAAAACTTTTATTGTATTTTGAAATTCAAACAATTAAATCTAATGGGAAACGAGAATTCGACAAAAAATCTGTGGCAGCGGTGGGATTCGAACCCACGCCTCCGAGGAGACTGGTGCCTTAAACCAGCGCCTTAGACCGCTCGGCCACGCTACCTATATGCAAATCGCCTAGCAAAGAGCATTTAACTCTAATCATATTATTAGTTAAATTATTTTACTTGTTCGTATTTGGCGAATCTTAATCGCAGTTAAATGATCTCAAAATTAAGTATACTGCTTATGTAAAATTAGAATTTTACATGTTAATTCATATTATTAGACAAGAAACATTATTTAAAAAGATTTGCCATGGTTAAAATTTAATATTATCTACCTATATGAGGTGTTAGTAACACACAGTGTATGAACATCGACTAAATTTAATACAATCAACTAACATAAATGCCTATATTTTGTAAAGAAATATCTAAAAAAAAATGGTGAGCGTCACGGGACGCTCGACAGAAGTGATAAGTTCATAAATTAATAGAAACCATAAAATATTGTTTTTGTTTTTTTGAAACTTGTTTAACCCAAGAAAAATCCCTTCCTGTGAAAATCGACAATATTGCCTGAAAAATTGGCCGTAGATATGAAACTGTACTTAATAAATCTAAGACAAAGTAAAATTAGCTATTTAACGCATGATGTCAATAATAATTTTATTTCATAATTTTAATATTCTTGTTAGTCTAATAATTTATAAATGGATCAGGAATAGGTAAAAGTTTATTTAATTTCCTTTTGAATGTAAAATATCTTTTTTATTTGCAACATTTAACATTCTYTAACGAGATGTACATATTGCTCTTCTTGGGTTTGTATAAACTCTTCTCCTTGAGTTTCTGTATTTTTTTGTCGTAATTTTTTATTTGCTTTGTATAATTTTTGACGTTCAGCACTAGTTCGTGGTTGATGAAAGCTACTTTGAGTTGATTTATTACTTACTGCTCCTTTTTTAGCACGAAATCGTTTTTGGCGTTCAGCATTACTTAATACTTTTCGCATTATAACATGTTTTTGTGACTGCTCTTGTGTATGTTGTTCATGAATGTCTGCTACAACTTGTATCTGAATAGGACTAAAAAATCAATTAATTTTGGTGATTGGAAGACGTTCTATCTGTTTAAAATAGACGGTAAAGCGATGAAGAGCCATAGAGACAGAATACACTTGACACATTGAACTGAACTAATCCAAGGCTAAAAAAATAAAACTAAATTGAGAAGATTTAATCATAAATGAATCAAAGGGTATATGAAAGGAAAAAATCCATTTTGATGCGTGGTAGACACAATTAATCATAGAAATAATATAGAGAATTGAAAATATGCCATAATAAATTCGTTTTACATATTTTTCAACTATAAGCTGAAGGGAGATTCGTCTTAACATCAAAATTGCGTTGCGGGATAGAAAATGAGAAGACGGAACCCATGTTTTCTGAAATAAATAAATAATATTTTTTCAATTAAATTCAAAACATATTTATTATATATTATTATAAAACAGTAATGATGTTTATCATTTTATGTTAAATATGAAAGATTACAAAATAGATATCTACATATTGATAATTTGCTGTTACAAAATAAAATAACAAATAATAGAACATTATCTATATTGCATAAAAAGTTATTATTTATAGTTGTGACACTTTATTTGCACTTAATCTTGAGCGTTTTCATCAATTGACCCTGCCTTCTTTAGAAAATATCCGCTCAACATCTGGTTTAATAATTGTCTCCGATGAAAATCACTAAACAAGTAGGTAGTAATATTTTAGAAGGTCGGAACTTTGAATCGTAAAATACAAAGCAAATGGATATCATCTGGGCAGCATCTGGACTACAGACGTAGAGTAAGACAGGGAATCGGTACCGGGATTGTATCGATACGATTTAAGTTAATTTAATCTTTTCTTGATACGAATTTGCGTCCACAATCAATCAGGCGATTTAAAATAGGTCCAACAGTTTTTCAAAAATTTTATTGTAGTGG